GTCTAGTAGTCAGCTGTACCACTTCCCTATCCTGGCCCTATTCCTGTACAAGTGATTAAGTTGAGTTATCCTGCCTTTCTATCAGCTTGCTAGGGACCTGTGTGACCTGTCATGAAAAGATGAATTGGGTTAATCGGATTTTCTCCTGGAATCTGGGGATTGGAAAACAGATTAAAATGATAAGCTCCAGGAATATAGGTTGAAAGAATACATCAAGAATTGTTAAGAAATATTTAGCAGATGTTGTACAGTGATCCTAAAACATTTTTAGGACTTGTGAAATGTTTTCTAATATTTTGAATGTGTTGCCTGTGTTTGAGGATTGGAATGTTTTATATTGAAATCTGACTCTTTGGTTTCTCTTGTAAAATTCGAAAGTCTGAAAATAGCAAAAACTGACTGAAGCTACGTAGAAAACAGGGCACATGCTTTCCCCTTCACTGTGGCCTCCCCCACTCCATATGCTTACACCTGGTCAGCTTCATTCATTTACATTATCTGTTGGCCCCTATAGCCATCTGACAACCAACCTGTTGAAGGAATAAGTAGCAATAAGGGCTTATATGCAATCTAGGTTCATTGGCGAACAGAATCTCTAAGAGAACAAGAGGAAACTGGTGGGTGTTGGGGAGTAGGCGAGATAGAGAGAGGATACAGCTGCTAAGGAGAGGGGAACCAGTGCTCAGAGATGCCTGGGTTTCTGGGCTTCCCAGTTTCAATAGCTGCTCATGGTTATCTTCATCATAACTCCGTTTTCTTGAAATAGTTTGTAATGCAAATAGCCAGGCTAATGGAGGGAGTTACCAGGAAATTGGTGGGCAACAGCAATGAAGAAAGTAAGAGTGGTTTAGTTAGATGATATTAGCCTCAAAGGAGAAGAAATTCTTACATGAAGGTAGAATATAAATTATAAGTTGCTGTCAAGAGTTAGAGTCTTGGTGATTATGTATTCTGGCCCAGAAGGATCAGAGAAGGAGGACTGAACTACCTCTGCTTGAGTCAAAAGTATAGTCAAAAGTATTCTCAGATGAAATCAGAAGCATTTTGGGAAGGGCTATGGGTATTCAGAATTCCAGGGGGTTTGGAGGAGGGAACTGGGAAGTCCAGGGAGAAGAAAATTGAAAGAAATTTAAGTTTTGATCATTTATATCCTCTAACTGGGCCTGGAAACTGACTTTCACTGTGTGTTAAAAAGAGCAGTCTGTATTTTGGCCAACAGAGAAGGCTTCCTGAAAGAGGTGGCATATGAGCTGCACTTTAAAGAGGAGATGAAAAGGAAGTGCTTCACAGGCAGATGGAGCCGCAGCTGCAAAGGCTGAGTTCTAAAGGGAGAGTGGGCAGTTTGCAATTGGTGGGCATCATGGGGCCTGAGTCACCTGGCAAGTTATTTTTATATCTTGGGGCCTTGGTTTCCATTATTATAAGAGAAATAATATCGTATTTTTTTATTCTAGGATTCAGTGTTTATACCCTATCTCATTTTTAATATTTCTTGATTTAGGACATATCTTAAAATTGACACCCCAAAATGCTTGCTTTATAGGGCAAAAAAGAATTGTGACAGTGTTATCACTAACTCAGTTCAGTTCAGTCACTCAGTTGTGTCTGACTCTTTGTGACCCCATGGACTGTAGTACACCAGGCTTCCCTGTCCATCACCAACTCCTGGAGCTTCCTCAAAGTCATGTCTATCGAGTCAGTGATGCCATCCAACCATGTCATCCTCTGTCGTCCCCTTCTCCTCCTGCCTTCAATCTTTCCCAGCATCAGTGTCTTTTCCAGTGAGTCAATTCTTCACATCAGGTGCCAAAGTATTGGAGTTTCAGCTTCAGCATCAGTCCTTCCAATGAATATTCAGGACTGATTTCCAGTAGAATAGACTGGTTGGATTTCCTTGCAGTCCAAGGGACTCTCAAGAGTCTTCTCCAACACCACAGTTCAAAAGCCTCAATTCTTCAGCACTCAGCCTTCTTTACAGTCCAACTCTCACATCCATACACGACTACTGGAAAAACCATAACTTTGACTAGATGGACTTTTGTCAGCAAAGTAATGTCTTTGCTTTTTAACATGCTGTCTAGGTTGGTCATAGCTTTTCTTGTAAGGAGCAAGCATCTTTTAGTTTCATGGCTGCAGTCACCATCTGCAGTGATTTTGGAGCAAAAAAAGTCTCTCACTGTTTCCATTGTTTCCCCATCTATTTGCCATGAAGTGACGGGACCAGACCAGATGCCATGATCTAAGTTTTCTGAATGTTGAGTTTTAAGCCAATTTTTTCACTCTCCTCTCTCACTTTCATCAAGAGGCTCTGTAGTAGTTCTTCACTTTCTGCTGTAAGGGTGGTGTCAGCTGCATATCTGAGGTTATTGATACTTATCCCGGCAATCTTGTTTCCAGCTTGTGCATTTCACGTGATGTACTCTGTATATAAGTTAAATAAGCAGGGTGACAATATGCAGCCTTGATGTACTCCTTTCCTGATTTGGAACCATCACTAACTGGGTATATGCAAATTTAGCCCCATCCACAGAAAGATGTTCATTTAATAATAAGCTTAGTTGAATTATTTGCACTGATTGTGCCATACAGTTATCTCAAAGTGACATGTTAGGTGTCTTCCAAAAGATTACATTGGTGTTGAAGCATTGACGTTATACATACAGATGAATTGTCATGCATCAGGAATACAATTATTGTAGAAACAACCAACTCTTTAAATTTGACATAATGGTTACAAATCTAGAAGAGATTGTCTTGACTAACTGAAGTGCCTGAGGACATCAAACATTTAACTATCAATAGTTTCTAGTTATTAAGAGAAGATGTGTAGATTCTGGGCATGTGCAATGTAATTTAAAAAAAAGAAACCAAGTTTATAAACAAAGAAGAAACATATATAACACTGATATACTCTTTGAAACATCTCAAAAGTATGCTGTTAATTTCTGAAGGTGATAAAGAGATCAAGATATAACTGTAAGTTATGAAAAGCAGCATGTCATCATGCTATACTTAAACAGATGGTCAAAAGGGTTATATAAGACTTTAGGCAGTGGAAGTGAGAAGACGTAAACTTCGCCTCTGATTATGGTACTGAAGATGAAAGTGGTACAATTATGATAATAGCCAGCATTTACTGAATGATTACAATGTGGCACTGTGGTAAATGCCTTTGGACAGTCTCAAGACAATGCTATCAGATCAGTGGTGTTATCTTCATTCTGCAGTGAGAAAGATGTCTTCCAAAAGGTTACATTGATGTTGAAGCATTGACATGTTGTACAAACAGATGAGTTGCCATGCATAAGGAATACAATTATTATAGAAATGGGTTACCCTCTAAATTCGACATATGGTTACAAATCTAGAAGAGATTGTCTTGACTAACTGAAGTGCCTGAGGACACCAAACATTTAACTAGGCAAATCCAGCTTACCTCCAGAACCATGATGCTGTTCTAACACCTTCCCTGTGCATTTTCACAGATATGATTTTTAGGTTGGGTTTAAAAGTATATACTTAAATACAGTATAGCCATGGTACTTTTTACTTCCATTCCATGAATCCATGGCACATTACTTTGCCGACAAAGTTCCGTCTAGTCAAAGCTATGGTTTTTTCAGTAGTCATGTATGGATGTGAGAGTTGGACCATAAAGAAAGCTGAACGTGGAAGAACTGATGCTTTTGCACTGTGGTGTTGGAGAAGACTCTTGAGAGTCCCTTGGACTGCAAGGAGATCAAACCAGTCAATCCTAAAGGAAATCAGTACTGAATATTCTTTGGAAGGACTGATGCTGAAGTTTCAATATTTTGGCTACCTGATGCAAAGAACTGACTCATTGGAAAAGACCCTGATGCTGGGCAAGATTGAAGGTAGGAGGAGAAGGGGACGACAGAGGATGAGATGGTTGGATAGCATCATGGACTTGATGGACATGAGTTTGAGCTCATGAGAGTTGGTGATGGACAGGAAGGCCTGGCATGCTACAGTCCATGGGGTCGCAAAGAGTTGGAGACAACTGAGCGACTGAACTGAACTGATGAATCCATGGAATCTAAGAATCAGAAGTATGGAACTGGGGGTTATTATGAGGATCAGCTGACGAATATCTTACAGCGGCTCCTAGAAAAGTCGTGTATCAGGGGGTAGGTGTTGCAAGTTGGAGTAAATGAGCCTGCATTCTCAGAACTCTCTCATCTTAAAACTGGCAAAGGCTACTGAGGGAAAGACGTCAGTAAGGAGGAATGTCTTCTGTGGTTTTGAAAGCGGTTCCTCTACACAGAAAGCCCTGCCTCCCATACCTGTCTAAATCCTTCTGATCTTTCCACGTCCACCCCTAATGCCAGCTCCTTCAGAAAGCAGTCTCTGGTTATATGAAAATATAAACATGGGAGATACTTTCAAATCGTTAAGTGATGAAGCCAATAAGTGAAAGATGGACTTTATCATTAAAGTTACCCGCGCTCCTTTCCTGGCCTCAGATTCTGTAAACTGAAAGGAAGAGGTGGTTTAGCCTATCTCTTCCTTTTGTAATCTCGACTCTTTTTAACCTTTTCAGATTTCTGCCAGAGCTGCCGTGAAAAGCAACTCTTCTTCCTTAGACCTGCAGGCGGCGGCTCCTCCGCGTTGGCAGCTCAGCAGGGATGGGCTGGAGAAGCAGGAGAGGAGGAGGGGGGCTCTAGGGGAAGCGCGGCGCGCAGCCACGTGACTTCCTTCCCAAGGAGCCTCAGCTGCAGGCCTCCCAGCAACCAATGCGTCCCGCCTAACGACGCTCGCGCATCCTGGTTGGTCTTCGGGAATGCTTGTGGCAAGGCGGCTCCCACGGTCGCGCTGCTTATTGGCTGGCTCTACCGTCGCTCAGGCGCGTTGCCCGAGCTCCCGCAGGCGGTGCTGTCGAAAGCCCCTCCCGTTGGCCGCTGGGTTTGTGGCTGGCTGGCTGAGGCTGTCAGTCCTGGGCCGTTTCCCCGAGGCAGGCGCTCTGCTGGGGGCGGGAGGAAGAGGGGCCGAACTGGGGCCTGACTAGCAGTCGCTGCTGCCACGGTCTTCGGGGCTGCTATGACCAGCGGACGACGCGCCCTCAGCAGCTCCGCGCAGCGCTAGTCGCGGCCGTGCGCCCGCCGTAGCCGTCTGCGTCCCCAGCTCAGCCGCTCCCGCGGCTCCCTCGGCTCTTCCAGTGCCCCCTGCGAAGCGAGGCGAGGCGGAGGCAGGATGAAGATGACGGTGGATTTCGAGGAGTGTCTGAAAGACTCGCCCCGTTTCAGGTAACCGGCGCAGCCGCCCGGCGCCGGGCCGGCGTCACCCGGAGCTGGCTCCTCCGGCGGTGGGGGCGTGAAAGCCGGCCCGCGGAACGCGCGGGGGGCCCCGCAGTCCGCGCCCTCCGACGGGGCGGGGGGCCGTTGCTGTGGCTCCCGATCCGGAGAGGGCTCGACAGCCCCGACTAGCCCTTCACGAGGGGCGAAGCTGGGCCAGGAGGGGGACGTCGCCTCCTTTTGCCCCTTCCTTGGCCTCTGCCCAGGGCGGAGCGCCCGAGAGGCTGGGCGCACCCGTTTCGAGGAACTGGGGTGCAGCCGCGTCCCCGAAGAGTCGTGCCCTTTGCGGGCGCGCGCTCTCCCCTTCCTCTGGCCGCTCGTCCTTTCCCCTTCCTTCCGCTCCTTCTTCGTTTCCACCCCCACACCAGCCCCTCTTTGAGAGAGCTTGCAGGGCACCGTCTTGCAGTTCACATAGTTCCTCTTCGCGCTTTTCCGCACCCCCTACCCCTAGGAGGAAGGACTGGGGGGCGAACTGGGACATCGATTTCTGCTGCTGGCTTGTCCCGGGCCAGGGGGGCTTCTAGGAAGGCGCTGGCGGTTGATTGTAGTGGAGTCGGGGGTGGGAGTGTTTGACCAGCCTTATTCTATCCACTGTGGTCCTAGACTCTTAGGCTTTTCTTTCCACCTAAGCTCTTTGAAGGGGGCACCGCTGTCGAGAGTACCGGGCTGAGGGGTGAGGACTAGGAGAAACAGTCCATTTCTGTTTTGAGAACGGAAGTAGGAGGGCCTTGAAGATTGCATTTCTGTTCCTCTTCCAGCAGCGTCGGCCCGGGAGGGCCCCGGTCACCGTCGGATGCTCCCAGTGGATCTGTCACATAAACTGACTTGGCACTCCGATTCACATGGGCTGCCTTCCTCCCTGGAGAGCCGGCAACCCTGAGGGTGTCCAGAGCCCAGGCTCTTTCAGTTTTGGGCATCTTAGAAAACTCTTGAATTGTTTTGAAGAATGGAGTTTTGCTAAGTTGTGTTTTACACTGCATTTATAGGGCTGTCCTTAGGCCTTAAAAATAAGGCCTTCAAAACTTCCGTTAGAACAGTGACATGTCTTGAAAGCGTCTCCTGAGCATTGATGTGTTTGTGCTCGCTGATCTTTAGGGCAAGCCTGGGTTGTAAATTCTTGCATCCTCTGCGTGGGAATGAACTGTTCTCATCTTTATCACTGTTAATTTGATTTGGCTCCCCCCCCCCTTTTTTTTTTTACCCCAGTGAAAAGCAAAATACTGTAAAACTTAATGAACTGCTACTTCTAAGACAATGTCCTTTGGTTTTTGTTTATTTTTTGGTGTTAATTTTATTTGGAACTTAGGGCTACTGCTTGTAAAAAGGTGCACATGGTGGGGTGGAGAGAAGGATGTTGGTATTAGTTTTTAAAACTTTATGTTTTGGGTGATTTGACAGACTCAGGAGGTACAAATGGATAGTTTAGAACAGCATTGCAAGTTAAATTTCAGGACTGTGTGGCAAAGGAAGTAATTTTTAAAGTGTACCTTAAAAAGTTCTATTTTTTGGTGGAATTTTTATTAATGTGCCCCAGCTATTACTGAGTAATGATGTAGTCACAGCATTTTTTTTTTTTTTTTGGTCTAGGGAATGTGACTTTGTGCTCAGTTTGTTTTGCATTTTAAGTTTCATTAAAAAAGAAAAAGTTGAGAAAAGTTATTTGGAAATGTTTCTAGGTACTGCTTTTGGTTATAAACTATGTTCTGTTTTTGTTTTTGAAATAAAAGAGTGATTGAATGTAAAGTAAGAGGAAAAGATACTGATTAAGTTGTATGGAATATTGTAGTAAGCATTTGTTAACCTTTAGTATAGTATCTATTCTATATTAATTAAGACATTAGGGATTTTCAAGAGTTGTTTCCAGTATTCCATTTACTCTTGGCTGCAAAATGGGACGAGAAACTAAGATTCACAGAACTCTAATATATTGTATACGTTTGTGAGACTAGATCAGATTTGCCAGGAAATAAAAGTCTCATCATATATATTCCTAATTGTAGCTCCATTACTGTGTAGGTTTCTATAGCATTTGAAAATAACATTTCAGAAGTCTTTATTCACATGCTTATGTATAAGAGAACCTTTCAAGAGCATTGCATACTTTGAGTGATATTTTGAAGTATTTGTATCAGAAAATTTGTGACGGCTGGGCTTTTTTGACAGCAAGGCAGCTGTACTATTTATTCTTTGTAGTGTCCTGATCTGTTGTGCTGTTTTAAAACTAATTCCTATTTTTATTATCCTTCACAAATGAATTTGTGGCATTTAAGTCTGGTATGTGGACATAACTGTCTTGAATGTTGTATAATCAATGTAAATGGCAGCTCATGCTGAAGAAAATTTTCACCAGTGGTCAAGCTTTAAACATTCATTTTCCTGTTAAATTGATAAGGAAAACAGGAGGAAGACTGGTTGAAATATGGAGAGAAGGATATTGCAGTTGCACCATTGTTTTTAGTAATTTGAATAAAGTCTGTGGTTACATTTTACATTCCTGTGAACATTTTGTTTTGTTTTTAGATTAGAAGGCACATTTCTTTGTGTAATTTTGGGTTCTCTTAGTTTTTTAAAAGCCACTCTAAAGGTCAGAATCTTGTTCATTTAAAATCTACAGGGAAGTGGATGCATCTAACTAAGTATACTTTTTAAAAGTATGTCAAAAAAGTAAGGTGAAAATGATCTATTTTGACTGTTTGTTGAAGAACTTTGAACTTGTTTGGGCCTGCCCTAAATTGTTTGTGTAAGTGTGCTTTAAAATTTTATAAGAAATGTGCTTTTTCTTTATATAAACATATGGTTCACTCAGGAAGTGAATATTTTGTTTGAAATAAAGAGTCTAATTAATTAGTGGTTTTTGAATTGTGGAAAGAAAAGAAAGATAGCACTAAGTTGTGTCTGATTCTCGTGATCCAATGAACTGTGGCCTGCCAGGTTCCTATGTCCATGGGATTCTCCGGGCAGTCCACTGGAGTGGATTGCCATTTCCTTCTCCAGGGGAACTTCCCCACCCAGGAATGGAACCCAGGTCTCCTGCATTGCAGGCAGATGCTTTACTGACTGAGCTACATGGGAAGCTTTGAATTGTGGAGGATTTGCTCTAATTTATTGCCCAAATATAAAAATATTGCGTCTTTGTATGGAACATTTATTGTTTATCCTTAAACAGTATTTATTTTGCACCATTCTGAAGATTTTTTGTTTGATTCTGTTTCAGATATAACCCTTGTTCAGTAACTTAGGATAAAAATCTTAAGATGTTTTAGGGTGAAAGGTTTTAATGGCTCAAAGATATCACACATGTGCATGCGCACATGCATATTCTATTTTGCTATTAAGCAAGAAGCCAGTCATGCTACTTTTCCTTCTATATTTAGAACAAATACACTCTTAATAATTGGTAATTTACACATGGAAAATATAGTGGGCAAGAGATGAAGCAAAATGTGTTCTTATTTCAGAAATAGTAGAATAGCGTTGTAAAGTAGTTTTATCGTGAACCAAAATATAGGGATCCAGCTATTCCTCATTGCAGCTTCTAATTCTTTATTTAATGTAGTATCAGCTTAAGTTGAAATAAGGAAGAACAAGTTCTTATAACATGCCAGATCTCATACTCTAGTATGCTTTTATAACTACCATCTCATTTAATGTTAAAATATATTATGATGGGGAATTATAATTTTTGTTTTTAAAGTGTTTAAAAAGATGCCAAACTGGATATTTTGAGAAGTAAATTGACTTTCTTAATGGTGGACTTTCAAGTGGTGGACTTGGAAGTGAATTCACTGTTTTACTCTGTCTTTCAAGCTACAGGCTCTGTTACATTAATTAAATTTGCATTAATTGTGTGTATGATGTCATTTATTATACCAATATTTAAAAACTGGCTTTCATGTATTGCCTAGAAAAGTGTTCCCATTCCCATTATTATAAGATATTTTCCATTTATAGCAGTTTTTAGTTCCATGTAATGCAACTGGATTTAGTTCTGAGTGTGAGGGATAATCCTGTTTTATTTTCTTCCTAATGGAGGCCCTTGTCCTGATACCTTTTACTGTATAATGCATCTTTAACCATTGCTTTAAAATTATACACATATGTGCATATAGTCTTTTTCTGGATTCTACTCTTTTCTACCAAAGTAATTGTCTGTTCTTCTGCAAATATTGTTAATATATTAGCTGTAACATTTTATAGTTTGTTATGATATCTGGTGGGTCAGCTTTTCCTTTGTTACTGTTTTTTCAAAAAATATAATGGCTATTCTTGAATATTTTGTCTTTATAATATAGCTGCCTTAATATCAGAAGATGGTATGTCTTTCCATGTATTTTGGCCTTATATATTTAAAACTTTTTATTACTTAAAATTTCGGTGATGATCCAGCTACACGCTGCTTATAAGAGAAATACCTTAGATTGAAAGATACAAATATTAATAGGTTGAAAGTAAAAGAGAAAAAGGTAAATGATGCAAGCAATACCCACAAGAGAGCTGGAGTGGCTATATGTAAATAGATTTTATGACAAAAATTACTAAAGATAAAGGATATTTTATAATGATAAAAGGATCAATCCATCAGGAAGAAGTATACTTATATATACTTAACAGAGCCTCAAAATACAGGATGGAGAAGGCAATGGTAACCCACTCCAGTACTGTCGCCTGGAAACTCCCTTGGACGGAGGAGCCTGGTAGGCTGCAGTCCATGGGGTCACTGAGGGTCGGACACGACTGAGCGACTTCACTGTCACTTTTCACTTTCATGCATTGGAGAAGGTAATGGCAACCCACTCCAGTGTTCTTGCCTGGAGAATCCCAGGGACGGGAGCCTGGTGGGCTGCTGTCAATGGGGTCGCACAGAGTCGGACACGACTGAAGCGACTTAGCAGCAGCAGCAGCAGCAGCAAAATACAGGAAGCAAAAAATGATGGGAGTTAAGGGAGAAATAG